TCTCAGCTTTTTTACGCTGGTTTCTTCCCGTCATTGTAAATTTATCCTCCTGTCGTCTTTGAAGTTACCAACTTTCAGATTAGGTCTCTTGAGTGGATGTCCAGGTTGTTAGTTCCCAGGGCCAGAGCAGCGGCGTTAAAACTGATGGTGCTTTTCTGCCCAGGATTCTCCTGTCTGGCTTCCTTCTTGTTTCCGTAGTAGGCGACCCTGCCTTCCCAGGACTCCAAACCTCGGTCAGAAGGGGAACCAGTCCCGTTTACTCTGCGCCAAGCGCTGCTGCCCCGAGGTGCCGGCGGAACCGCTGCGCCGACCACGAGAGTCGCACTGGCAACCCGTGTGTTTCCACCACTGGGGGATCTTCTGCTCCGTGAGCGACCAGACTTTGTCTGAAAGTGTGGCGTCCTCTAGTTCTCCGCGCCTTCCCTGAGAGCTGCAATCCCGGGATGTTAGCGATCGGCCATCTTGGATCGTTCCCGATGACATGGTTCTATACCTAAAAAACCCTGTCGTCTCTGCCTAGAGGTTCCTGGATCTAATAAATAGCTTCAGCAGAGTTTCAGAATATAAAATCAATGTACAAAGATTGCTGATTTTTATAGGTGTAGCATTTTGATTCTGTAGGTGTACCATTCCTATATACCAACGACAGCCAAGCAGAGAGCCAAATCAAGAATGCAGTCCCATTCACAATAACCGCAACAAAAATATAGCTAACCAAAGAGGCCTCTACAACAAGAATTACAGAACACAGCTCAAAGAAATCAGATGACAAACAAATGGAAAAATATTCCATGTTCATGATAGGAAGCATCAGTATTATTAAAATGGCCATACTACCAAAATCAATTTACAGATTCAGTGCTATTCCTATCAAACTCCCAATAACATTCTTTATAGAACTAGAAAAATGTATTTTAAAATTCATACAGAACAAAAAAAGATCCCGAATAGCTAAGGCAGTCCTGAGCAAAAAGAACAAAGCTTGGGCCAAGTATGGTGGCTCACACCTGTAAACCCAATAATTTTGGAGTCTGAGGCAGGCAGATCACTTGAGCCCAGCAGTTTGAGACCAGCCGGAGCAACATGGTGAAACCCTACCTCTACAAAAAATACAAAAATTAACTGGGTATGGTGGTGCATGCCTGTAGTCCCAGCTACTTGGGAAGCTGAGGTCAGAGGATTGTTTGTGCCTGTTTTCTGCAGTGGCTGTATCATTTTACATCCCCACCAATAATGCACAAAGTCTCCTTCAATTTCTCCATATCCTGGTCAACACTTACTCTATTTGTTGTATATGTATTTTGTTTTGAGACGTGGTTGTTCTCTCACCCAGGTTTGAGTACAGTGGCTTGATCTCAGCTCACTGCAACCTCTGCCTCCGGAGTTCAAGTGATTTTCTCGCCTCACTCTCCTGAGTAGCTGGGATTACAGAGGTACCAACACACCCAGCTAATTTTTGTATTTTAGTAGAGATGGGGTTTCACCGTGTTGGCCAGGCTGATCTCGAACTCCTGACCTCAAGCGATCTACCCATCTTGGCCTCCCAAAGTGCTGGGATTACAGGGATGAGCCACCATGCCCAGCCTGTTGTATGTGTGTTTTTAAAGAATAGTCATCTTGATGTGAGGTAGCATCTCATGGTTTTGATATGCAGTTAGTGATGTTGACCGTCTGTTTATTGGCCATTCATATAATCTTTGGAGAAATGTCTATTCAAGTCTTTTCCCATTTTTGAATTGGGTTACTTCCTTTTTTGTTGTTGAGTTTTAAGAGTTCTCTATAGATTCTGGGTGTTAATCACTAATGAGATATATGATTTGCAAGTATTTACTCCCATTCTGTAGGTTGTCTTTTTATTCTGTTGATAGTGTTCTTTGATGTCCCAATAGTTAATTTTCGTGAAGTCCAATTTTAATCTATTTTTTCTTTTATTATCTGTGCCTTTGATGTCATATCCAAGAAATTATGTTCAAATCCAGTGTTGTGAAGACTTTCCCTTATGTTTTCCTCTAGGAGCTTTATAGGTTTAGCTCTTACATTTAGGTTTTTGGTTTATTTTGTGTATGTTGTCTAAAACAGTGGTCCAACTTCATTATTTTTCATGAGGACATCCAGTTTCCCTAGCATCATTGTTGAAAGACTGTCCTTCCTTCACTGAATGTTTGGTACTTTTGTCAGCAGTTATTTACCATAGATGTGAGGGTTTATTTCTAGCCTCTCTATTCTGTTCCATTGCTCTATATGTCTGTCTTTTGTGCTTTTAGCACTCCGTTTTGATTACTATCACTTCGTATTAACTTGAACTCAGGAAATGTGAGTCCCTCAAATTGGTTCTTTTTCAAAAAATTTCTAGGCTATTTGTCCCTTGATATTCCATATGAATTTTGAGATGGATTATTCTATTTCTGGAAAGAAACATCAATTTGAAGTTGATAGAGATTGCATTGAATACGTAGTTTGCTTTGAGTAGTAATAACATCTTAACAGTATTATCTTCCAGTCCATTAACATGGGGTGTCTTTTAATTATTTATGTGCCTTTGATTTTTTTTCAGCAATGTTTTATAGTTTTTATACAAGTTTCACCTCCTTTGTTAAATTAATTCCTAAGTACATTTGGCCCTTGAACAACAGAGAAATTAGGGTTACTGAGCCTTTGTGCAGTCAAAAATCTGCATATAACTTTTCACTCCTCAAAATCATAACAATTAATAGCCTGCTGTTGACAGGAAGCCTTACCAATAACATAAACAGATGATTAACACATAAATAGATTCTATCTGTATATATATTTTTACAAATTGGAGCAAATCTTCAAAAAATGTTCCATTGTATGTATTGAAAAACATCTATATATAAGTGGATTCATACAGTTCAAACTTCTGTTGTTCAAGAGTCAACTGTATTTTATTCTTTTTGACTACTGTAAATTGAATTGTTTTAATTTCCTTTTTAGATTGTTCATTGTTAGTGTGTAGAAATACACCTGATTTTTGTGTGTTGAGGTTTTCTACATGAAGATCATTGGGGGGGATACTTTTTTAAACATGATAAAATATACCTTAATAAGAAAGCACCATACTCAATAGGGCAAACAGTAGAGGCATTTCCACTAGAAGAGTTTATGTTCCATTGAGACTGCCTGGTTTCTAAACCTTGAGTAGAGTTCCCTTCTGAAAACATCTACCTTTGGGGAAAGGTTCATTTAAGAATGTCCTTGATGAAGCAGTAACAATTATTAATGTTATTAAACCTCATTTGATACGGTCTTTTCAACATTATGCCTAGCAGAATGGGAAGATATATAAAGTACTTCTGCAACTGTATTCCTAAAGAAAAGTGTGTGTGCTGTTAACTGAGTTACAAGCTGAATGAGTTGTTTTTCATGACTGCTATTTTTACTTGAAAGAACAACTGAGAGCTGGGTGTGCTGGTATGAGCCTATAATCCCAGCTGCTTGGGAGGTGGAGGCAGGAGTTTGAATTCAGGTCCAGCCTGGGTAACACAACAAGACCCTGTCTCTACCAAAAACAAAACAAAACACAAGAAACCAGACACACATACAAACCCAAACCCAAACAATCAATCAAAACTGAGGGGCAGTGTTTTTTCAGATGTAGATGTTTGACAGCAACTTTTTCACAAATGATCAGAGTGACCCTGAACTTTGAGGACAACTGAAAATACTTGTTGTTAACGATAAAATTCAAGCTTTTAAGCAAAAATTATAATTTTTTAGAACATTTGATCTGTCCCTGTGACCTTGAAAGCTTTCCTGTACCTCAAGACTTTTTTGGCAAGATTCATTAAAGAATGTGATTTTTTAAAACACTGTACTATGTAATGAAACATGTGGAAGATCTGCATAGATGAGTAGACTGATACTTTCCAAATAAAACAATTATACATGCATAAAGCATCCATCCAACATACAAAGACCAATGGATTTTAATGTAACAGAATAAAAAGTTCATTGATGTGGTTTCAGATTCTGTACTGCAACTTGAAAATTTGTTTCCATTTGCTTTTAATATTCATTCACTCATCACTTTATTTTTAGCTTTTATTTTCTCTTCTTTTTTTTTTTTTTTTGAGATGGAGTCTCCGTTTGTTGTCTAGGCCTGAGTGAAGTGGCATGATCTCTGCTCACTGCTACCTCTGCCTCCCAGGTTCAGGCAATTCTCCTGCCTCAGCCTCCTGAGTAGCTGGGACTACAGGCGCACGCCACCATGCCCAGCTATTTTTTTTTGTATTTTTAGTAGAGATAGGGTTTCACAGTGTTGGTCAGGCTGGTCTCCAACTCCTGACCTCAAGTGATGTGGCTGCTTTGGCCTCCCAAAGTGCTGGGATTACAGGTGTGAGCCACCATGCCCAGCCTATTTTTAGCCTTTCTGAATAATTTTTAGGTTTGTTTCTTGTTTCTTGTAGTTGGGTTTTGCTCTACAGGCTAAACCAAAAATTTTTTTTTTTTGATAAGTGGATTAACATTTATTGAAATGTTAACCATTCACATTTATTGAAATGACCAAATATTCGGATTAGTTTGTCATTTTATTGTTACTGTTTCTTTCTCTATAATGTGTTTTCTTTATTTTCTATTAAATTTTTCTTTTTTCATCTCATTTTTTGTTCTTTTCTGCTTTTGCCCGATAATATTTATCATGTTTCCATTCAAATTTATTCTTTCTTGTAATGTAGTCTTCATTTGTAATATAATCTTTTTCTTGTTTCTCATTTCTGAGGTAGTCAGCTCTTGTCTCATTGTTTATTTTTTTTTTTGGTTCAGTTCTAATCTTAGTTTTTGAATTTCAATTCAGAATGTTCTTTAATTTTCCCAAAGAGGGGTATTTAATTCAGTGTGGATTTTTGCTTAATTGTTTTCTTCAGCTGTATGTTTTTGTTTTTGTTTTGGGAGAGGGGAGCAGGGAGTAGGGAGTAAGGGCAGCTAAGTTGGTAACTTCTATGAGCTGATGTGCTTTTGTTTTCTGTTTTCTTCTGTAGGTAGCATTGTACAGATGACGAATATTTACGCCCATGCCTGTTCAAGACTGTTCAAGATTGGTGATTTGGAATAGTTTACAACATTCCTCAGTCAGAGTGCCCTCTTGTGTGATTGGGATGATGTGCAGCTTCTATAATGGATGGGACAGAGAGCTGGGATCTAATGTACAAGTGAAGGGCTTGGTCTTCATTGAGACATTCCAGCCATTGGAATAGGAGAGGAGCATATATGGCAGAGATGCTGGCTGGTGGTAAATGTCATAGTAAATTGTAGAAACTTCTGATTGATTGGATTTCCTTAGTAAAATAGGAAGCAAGGTTAGGCTGAGTGAGGGTGGGTGAAGAGGTAGAGGAGTTTGAGGAGAGATTGGTAGATAGACCGTAAAAACAGTTAGTTCTCTTTATGTCATTAAATACTTTCACAACATAGTTTCAACGATTGTTCACAATTTCATTTTATGGCTTAAATTACGGTTCTGTGATTTTTTTAAAAATCAGTTTCCTGTTGTTAGACATTTATTTCTAGTTTCTTACCATTATAAATAAAGTGAAACAATCTCTCTTACTATACCACTTCTATATTTGGAGTTCCTAATGTTTCTATTGTTAAAATATAATAATATTTACCTTTCTCATTGGTTTATAACTGTAGTCAGATTAAATACTTGTGTGCAGTGTAAACTTTAGGAGTCTGATGGTATCATTAACACAAGATTCAAATGCAAAATGTTCCAAGTACAAATAATGAGATTCTAAATATGCCGTTTTATATAGTAGTATTGATTATTATTAGACGAATACCATGAAATGGAAACTATCGTTGTTATATTGTTTTATTGCTGGGAAAAGTAATAGTATTACCAACTTGCTGGACATACAGAGTACACCAAAGCTAGTGATACTTCTTAGCAAAGTCCTGTTTGAAAATAGGAATTAAAGTTATTTTCATTGCCATCTAATCCCACTAAAGCAAGAAAGGGAATTGCATATACTCCAAGCAAAGGTTTGTCAGACAAGACCAAAGAAAGCAGGAAACAAGGATAAATCCTAGGCCATTAGAAGCAGGAAACTGAGGGGTGAAGAGCAAGTCATCTCTCAGTGCCCTTTTGCTGTCTGCCTAGGTTGATTGGTTTACTTCCCAGCTGTGGCTAGGGAGGAGGGCAAGGCACTTCTTATTTAAGTCTCGTAACAACCTTATAAGGTGGATAATGCAATTCATTGTATAAAAAGCAAATAAATAGGAATACTTAGTTTTTAAATTTTCATGAGTCTTGTCAGTATTTGTAATTAATCTTATACTACAGTCTAGCAGTTTATTTCCTAATATTACCTCATGTATAGTTTGATACTTATGAAATATAAGTTTTATATCTAAAGTTTATATATAAGGGGGGAAAAACAATTCTTATATTCCTGAGTCAGTACCCATCTTACTTGTAAACTTAAAAGACCAAGCAGAGGTTTGACAGACTCAGGAGTCAAATAGAGAATGTTAAAAACCTCTTATTTTTCAAATAATTGTTTTAAGAGACAAGCATACCTATGTCAGTGAAATATCTTAACTTGTGTTGAATCAAGTTAAGAGAGAGAGATTCTCATGAAATTGTCCTGTGTTGTCAAAGCAGCCAATAGGGTTATGAGAGCACCTTCCAGCCAATCACCGGCTTCCATTCTCCCCTTTTCTCTCTGTACAGTTTGCTCTGGTTTCTCAGATCAGATTTCCAAGTATACTGCTTCAGCTGTGCCCCCACTGAACCAAAAGCCATTTATCTGCCTGGTTTCCAAAGTGCTCTATCACCTGGCCATTTTACAGCCATACCAGGCCAGGCTTCATACTTCCCTGTGCTCACCTCTGCTCTCTTTGGTTTCCTCCTGTGAAGTAAATCTCTCTGACCCTTGATGCAGCTTCAAGCATATATAACATATATAAAATCATACTCGGTCTGAAAAATTCAGACCAGGAGAAATAAAGCAAGAAGGCTGTATGGGAAAAATCTGCACAGATTTATTTGGCCAGCATGGTTATCATGGCTCTTAAATTTATCCCTGACTTTCTTTAAAGCCAAAGCATAAAGGAGAAAGTGATCAACTACTTACCTCATTAGCAGAAGGGAGGCGAGAGGCAAAACCTCTGTTAATAATTTCATAAAAACAATACTTATGTGGGTCTTCATTATGGAAATCACTGAATAGAATGGAAAGAATTCTTTCTACAATTTTGTATGACAGGTATCATATGGGTCTTTTTATGGTTGGTTACTAAAAGCCACATAATAGTGGAACTCAATTTTTATCAATTGGTGAGATAATATAGGTCAAGTATGTAGCCTTTTGGTGTTTTGACTTTGTCCAATTGTAGAACTTTAGGATTCAGACCCAGAGATGTTAAATGACTGACCCCTGTTTTAATAGGTTTCCTGACTTCCAGCATAATTGTCTCAGTTCACTGACTAGTTTCTTGTAAGCATAACCGTTGAGGGGGTTACATGCAAGGATTTCTTCAGGTCAGGTGCAATGGCTCACACCTTTCATCGCAGCACTTTGGGAGGCCAAGGCAAGAGGATCACTTGAGTCCAGAAGTTTGAGACCAGCCTTGTCAACATAGCAAGATCTCATCTTCTAAAAATCTTTAAAATTAGCCAAGCATGGAGGTGCGCACCTGGAATCCCAGCTACTTGGAAGTCTGAGGCAGGAGGATCACTTGAGCCCATGAATTTGAGATTGCAGCAAGCAATATATTTTTAGTCTCTATTACAGTCTTATAAAAGGGATTATTATAATAAGAATAGCTGCAATTGCTTCTTACAAATGTCAAGACAGAGCATCTTACAGATGCTTCTACAGAGACACGGGGTGGTAAGAAGGTATTACAATCAACAACAGAAGCTACAGAGACACGGGGTGGTAAGAAGGTATTACAATCAACAACAGAAGCTACAGAGACACGGGGTGGTAAGAAGGTATTACCACCCCGTGTCTCTGTAGCTTCTGTTGTTGATTGTGTACCCTCACATATGTTTGCTCCCCTTCCTAACAGAATTCCAATTTTGGTTAGATCCCCCTCACCTATGTGAGTGACTTGTGCTTTATGGAGGGTGAGCCCTAGACCCAGCTCGAAGGGTTGTATCAACAGGAGTCTAATGTTGTATTTCTCAACCTTGACTTCACATTGGAATTACGTGGGAAGCTTTAAACAAAAATACTGATTCCAAGAGCCCACTTTCAGAAATTCTAATGTTTTACTTTTTAAAATGTTTTTGGCTTGGAATATGGACATGAAATTTTTAGTAGCTCCCAGGTGCTTCTAAAGCACAGCCAAGGTTGAAAACCACTGGTCTCAACAGATAACGCAAGTGCCATTCTTCTTGCCAATAGTTGATATAAGCTTGAAATATGGATACGTGGCCTCTGGTGCACTTCTGGAAAAGTGATCTTTTCTCTTGAGGTACACAAGGAGGAAGTTGAACATTGCCATGTCTGAATATGACACCAGAACAGAGGCAGCTATCTTAAGATTTCAAGGAGTGCTAGCTGAAGATGACAGAGAGGAAAGTTGGGGAAAAGCTGAATTCTTGATATCAGCTGAGCCATGGACTTAACTAGTCTTTCAGGAGAGATACCCCACTTTCAGATTTCATGTCATGCCAACTGAAATGATATATTTTCATTATTGTTGAAGCCATTTTGATTTGGGTTCTCTGCTATGCTACCTGCAGCCATAGGCAAACTAATAAATGTGAACCAACAAGCAAATCTACATTCTTCCCAAAGTCCACGTTTCTCCCCTCACCAACCTCTTCACCAAAAACTGCATTCATTATATTCAGCTCCTGCAAAGAGCACACATTAAGAAACAGGTTTAAGGAAGTGTTATACACCCAGTGTATGCATCCCCCAAAATTCATGTGTTGAAATTCTAACTCCCCAAGTGATGGTATTAGGAGGTAGGGCTTTTGGGAGGTGATTGGGTTATGAGGGTGGAGCCCTCATGAGTGCGATTCGTGCCTTTATAAAAGAGGCCCTGGGGAGCTGTCTCTTTTCCACCATATGAGGACACAGCAAGAAAATGGCTGTCTACAAACCAGGAAGCAGGCCCTCACCAGACACTGAATCTGCCAGCACCCTGACCTTGACCTCTCCCAGTCTCCAGAACTGTGAGGAATAAGTGTTCTTTAAGCTACCTAGTCTATGGTATTTTTGTTATAATAGCCCGAATGGACCAAGAAGTGAAAGGAAATTAAGATGGGGAGGGCTATTTTCATAACAAGGAGCAGAAAACTAGGAAGAATAGATACATTTAGAGGGGTTAAGAGGAAGGGGAGAATGTGTATGTTTGGGTAGGGAGGGACAAAATGCCCAACTCACCTTCAAAGTGCTGTTGATTCCTGTGAAATTTGTAACACTCATTTACATTATTTAAAAATAAACGAAGAAATTCTAACTTGTCTAGGTAAGAATAAAAAACTAAAAAAAAGACATGTTTTCGTTACTATATATGTCATTCTGAGCTACACATTATTTAACGTCTCTGAAATTGGAATATATTTTACAATTGATACTCGCATTTTAATTAGCAGGTTCTTGTTTTCTTAGAGGTACATAAAAAATGGTGAATCTTACTGACTCAGTGACATTTAGATTCTATTAAATATAATTTTTAACTGAAGTTATACATGTACATAGTTAAAAGTTTACTGTGAAATAAAGTTATGGAGTTTATTATGGATTAATGGATTATAAAAGCATAATGAAGATTTTTCAGTGAAAACAAGTGGTTCCCTTCCCCCTCCTCTTTTGTATAATAATAGGCAGAATTCTAAGATGGCTCCCAGGACTCCTCTTCCCTGATGTACATGACCTACATAATCCCTCCCCTTGAATGTGGGCATTATGAATATGATAGATTTCATTCCCATGATTAATTTACATTATATGGCAAATATGAAAATTTGACATTTGATGCAATTAAGGTCTCAAATCAGTTGCTTTTGAGTCTAAAAAAAGATGGGGAGATTATCATGGGTAGACCTCAATGAATCAGGTGAGTCTTTAAAGAGGCTGGGCCCTTTCTGAAGTCAAAGAGAGGAAGCATCAGAGTTTCTGCTATTAGCCTTGAAGAGGTAAACTGCCGTGTATCTAAGACTTGTGGACAGCCGCTAGTAGCTGCGAGCAACCCGCAGATGACAAGAAGTGGAGATTTCAGTCATCCAACCACAAGCCACTTAATTCTACCAGCAGCAACCTGAATGAGTTTGGAAGAGGTGTTTCAGGCTTGTTTTGTATCTTCCCACTGTAGGCCTCAGATCAGCCATTTCTCCAAGCAGCCCAGATTCCTTTTAGTTGAGAACAGTATTTGCAAACCAGTATCTGGATGCTAGATGTGCTCATTACTACTGAATGTTGCTACTTCTAGTGCTTTCTTAAGACACAGCTAGGGAATACGTGTATTGTATGTGTGTATAAATTTACACATATTTATATTTCTACTTATATTAGAAACCATGATTTCACACCAACATCTCTAATTCCAGTCCAGTTTTCTACCTTACCAATTTTTTTTTTTTTGAGAT